CCTGGCCAACATGGTGAAACCCCATCTCTACCAAAAATGCAAAAATTATCGAGGTTTGGCAGCAGGTGCCTGTACTCTCAGCTACTTGGGAGGCTGAGGCAGGTGAACTGCTTAAACTCAGGAGGTGGAGGTTGCCATGAGCCGAGATTGTACCACTGCACTCCAGACTGGGCGACACAGCAAGACTCCATCTCAAAAACAGAAAAAAGAATGCAACCATTTGTCGCTTATCTATGTAGGACCTGGAAGCCCCCTCCTCACGTCAAGCCGTCACACCTTTCCAGTCAGAATTATAAGAATGTCACTTTTGCTTCTCTGCCCACTCCAGGCTTCTTGGTTTGCACTAAATCCATGTTTCTGGGCTATCATCCTCAAAGCTGGCTCAGAAAACAGCCCACTTTGGCTTCTTTCTATCTGTAGTGCCTGTTATTTCAACCTTTTCCTTGACAATTCTGACTCCCAGGAGGTAAATCCCTAGTGGATGGCTGTCAGAAACGCTGACTCATCACCACGCTTGCAAGTGCTGCCTCCCTCACTTGCCACTTCCCAGGCCCCCTGCAGTCAGCCGGGACCATGTGATCAGTCCAAAACGGCAGTGACAGGTGTCAACTCCAGGTTGAAGCACTTCCAAGTTGGGGCATGACTCTCAGCTTCCTCCCTGGAAACCACAGGCTGAGTGGGTGGAATCCCAGGGTAGAACCCGCCTGGATCCTGAGTCACCGCATAGAGGGCAGCGTACTCAGTGGATTGACAGAGTCAAGAGGCGGCTTGGGTGGGTCAGCCACTGGGATGTTGCCATCTGTGACTGCAGCATAGCCTAATATATTCGGATTAGACCAGGGAGACATAAGCTCAACAGATACTGTACAAAGACATTTTTCTTTTTTTTTTTTTTTTTTTTTTGGAGACAGGCCTCACTCTGTGGCCCAGGCTGGAGTACAGTGGTACAATCATATCTCCATGCCGACTGGACCTCCCAGGCTCAAGCCATCCTCCCATCTCAGCCTCCCATAGAGTGCCGCTACCGCCACGTCTGGCGAATATTTACTTCTTGTAGAGACAGGTCCCACTATGTTGCCCAGGCTGGTCTCACACTTTTGGGCTCAACTGATTCTCCTGCCTTGAACTTCCAAGGTATTGGGATTACAGGCACGAGCCAACGCACCTGGCTGAGAAATCTTTAAAGAAAAAAAAAAAAAAGCACACATTGAGGCCAGGTGTGGTGACTCGTGCCTGTAATCCCAGCACTTTGGGGGACTGAGGAGGGTGGATCATGAGGTCAGGAGATCAAGGTCAACTGACCAACATGATGAAACCCAGCCTCTACTAAAACTACAAAAATTAGCCGGGCATGGTGGCAGATGCCTGTAGTCCCAGCTACCCAGGAGGCTGAGGCAGGAGGATAGCTTGAATCCCAGAGGGGGAGGTTACAGTGAGCCTAGATCACACCACTGCATTCCAGCCTTGGCGACAGAAAAAGACTCCGTTTAAAAAAAAAAAAAAAAAAAAAAAAAAGGCACACAATGAGTGATTTTGACAGAATGCTGATTGATTTGGTCTTTGGGGGAAGGTGAATGTTGCAAAGAGCCTAGATCTGGCAGGTAATGGTGGCAGGTTAACATCTGTCAAACACTGCACCATGTGCCGGGCACCGGGCAAAATGCTTACAAACATCTGAGCAAAGGCCACTCAGAAGAAAGCCTACAGCTTGGCGACTAGGAGGTGGGCCAGTGAAGCTCTCTCTCCATTTAGCCATTGGGCATGGAGGATCCCTTTGCCCTGCTTCAAGGGGCAAAGCAAAGATGGCAAGAACATCCCAGCACGGACATTCAGAGGGAACTACAGGGGCAGAGACCCCGAGGCTGGGATGCCTGGTGCCTTTCAGAACCAGTGAGACGGGTGGTGAGGGCGGGGGATGGCTGGCAGATGACTCAGAGGCTCAGGGCCCAGATGTTACTCTGAGTGAGACCAAAGTCTTAGGAGGGTTCTGAGCAGACAAGCACCATGATTTACGTCCTCAGGCCTCAGGAGTATCTGTCCTGGCCAGCTTCGTGGCTCATGCCTATAATCCAGCATTTTGGGAGGCCCAAGCAGTTGAACCGCTTGAGCTCAGAAGTTTGAGAACAGCCTGGGCAACATGGAGAAGCCTCATCTCTACCAAAAAATACAAAAATGAGCTGGATGTAGTGGTGCATGCCTGCAGGCCCAGGTACTTGGTAGTGGGGGCTATGGGGGGGTGGGTAGAGGTGGGAGGATTGCTGGAGCCTGGGAGGTGGAGGCTGCAGTGAGCCGAGAGGGCGCCCCTGCACTCCAGTGTGTATGACCCGGGGAGAGTGTCCAAAAAAAAAAAAAAAAAAAAAAAAACACAGAGAGGATCTTTCTAGGGTCAGCGCTTTCAGCCAGGATTGATTGTGTCCCCCAGGGGACACCTGCCAATGTCTGGAGACACTTTCATTGTCACAACTCAGGGGCTGCTACCAGGCTCTAGTGTGTAGGAACCAGGGATGTGGCTGATGTCCAAGGCATACCCCCCTGCCACCGATACACCTGCTGATGAACAGGGGTCCCATTCTCTCTACTTCCAGTGAAGCTTCTGATGCCAAGACCTGCCCCTCTCCCAAACGGGCTTCTATGTCACGACTGCCTGGGAGGAGTCGGTGCTTTCCTAGTCTCGATGCAAGGAGCAGTGTGGGCCTGCTTGAGGGAAGCTGGCACAAGTATAGAGCCTGCCAGAACCAGGACTTAGACCCTTCCGTCTCCAGGGATGAATGATGACCCAGGAAGTGGTGGGGGCTCCCCTGATGCAGCAGCCTCTGGAGCTGCCTACAGAGGGGAAGAGCCGAGGGGTTGTTGCTCTGCTTTCTGCATGCCCACACTGTCTCTAAGAACAATGCCCCAAATGTGTAGCTCCTACGTTAAAAAAGGCTTCTTCCAGGACAGGCACGGTGGCTCACATCTGTAATCCCAGCACTTTGGGAGGCTGAGGCGGGTGGATCACCTGAGGTCAGGAGTTTGGGACTAGCCTGGCCAACATGGTGAAACCCCATCTCCACTAAATATACGAAAACTACCTGTGCATGGTGGTGGGCACCTGTAATCCCAGCTTCTCAGAAGGCTGAGGCAGGAGAATCACCTGAGCTCAGGAGGCGGAGGGTACAGTGAGCAGATATTGAGATTGCACCATCACACTGCCGCCTGACAGAGTATGACGCTGTCTCAAAAAAACTAACAACAAAAAAAGCCACCTTCTGGCCTTTGCCGCTGTCTTTTGTCTGTCCCTGCCGTGCTCACTGTGACCAAGGCTATCCAGCCTTGCTCTGGCCTTTGTCCCCCGAGACTTTCTGCCTCTGCCTCTTCCTGCCACACCAAGCTTTTGTCAAGCAACCCCCTCGCTCCTTCTCCTTCCTGAACTTCAACAGCCAACTGAGTCCCCTGATTGACTAACAGCTTAGGGGCCTGCTCCAGGGTTGGGTCACCAGGGAGACGGACATGGCTTGTCTGAGGACTGTGGAGAAGGAGAAAGGGACTACTCACCTCTCCGACTTCCAGGAACGTCTTCCTGAGGCTGCGGAGAACGCAGACAGGAGCAGCTGGGCCTGAAACTGGAAGATTAATGAGGCCAGTTAACATGACCCACACCTGCCCCAGCTTTGTGCAAGCCCGAGGCAAACTCGGGCCCCAGGGTGGAGCCTCGATCTCCACCACCTGTGTTGGCTTCGCCAGGGTGCTTGAGAAACACCTCCTGGCCCCACCCCAAAGCCAGTGCTGCTGCTGGTGGGGCCTGAGAATCAGCATTTTCGCAAGCATCGACTACCATCTTCTCCCACCCTGACCCCCACAGAGGACTCCTCCTCCTGGATCTCGGTCTCCATGTGTCTATTTCCAGGCTCTTTGTTACCAGGAGATTGGAGAGGTCTCAGTTTTGATGGGTTTTCTTCTTTGTGTTTTATTGCATTGTCTTAACAAGCAAGGGAGAGACTCAGTTCTCACCCTCAACCACGAGCCAGAAACTTTGTGTACAGGGAAACAATCATCTATTATCATACATCAGCCCGGCGGGTCCCCTCTGTATTCAAGCCTTGCATGCCCATTATAGGGAATCTGAAAACTACAGCCAATTATAAAAATAAAAATTATACCATCCTGGTGTGGTGGTTCACAAGTAATCCCAACGTTTTCAAGGCTGAGGTGGGAGGATCGCTTGAGGCCAGGAGTTTGAGACCAGCCTGGGCAACATGGCGAAACCCCATCACTACAAAAAAATAAAAAAATTAGCCAGGTGTGGTGGCATGCATCTGCAATCTCAGCTGCTCTGGAGGCTGGGACTGGAGGATCACTTGAGCCCAGGACTTCAAGGATGTAGTGAGCTATGACTGCACCACTGCACTCCAGCCTGACTGAGAAAATCTCTGTCTCAAGAAATAATAAAGTAAAATAAAAATTAAAATCACTCATAATCCTACTAGTCACAGACACCAACATTCATTAACATGTTCCTATTTTTTCATCCAGTTTCTGTTTCCCATGCATATACTTTAGCATATTGAGGAGCTTAACGAATACAGCATTTTTTCCCTTTTTTTAAAAAAGAGATCCATTAAGGTATAATTGACATAAAAGGTGTAATTGACATAATTAAATAGCATCTGTTTCATGTGTGTAATATATTTTCATACTTGTATACACTCATGACAATCAAGATAGTGAACACGGCCAGGCGCAGTGGCTCACACCTGTAATCCCAGCACTTTGGGAGGCCGAGATCAGCCTGGCCAACATGGTGAAACCCTATATCTACTAAAAATACAAAAATTAGCTGGGCGTGGTGGCAGGCGCCTATAATCCCAGCTGCTTCGGAAGCTGAGGTAGGAGAATCACTTGAACCTGGGAGGCGGAGGTTGTTGTGAGGCTGAGACCGCACCACTGCACTCCAGCCTGGGAGACAGAGCGAGACTTCATCTGAAAAAGAAAAAAAAAAAAAAAAAAAAAAATTTCTAACACTTCCAGGTTAAGTTTTTAATGGCATTTTTATTTAGGAATAATCCAAGTTTACAGAAAAGTTGCAAAGACAGTAGAGACCATTCTCCTTTGTCTCTCACTCAGTCCTCCCAATATGAATATCTTACATGCCTATGATACATTCATTAAATAAAACCTGAGAAATTAATATCGGCACATTACTATTAACTGAACTATGGGCTGTACTTGAATTTCATCAGCTTTTCCACTGATGCCCTTTCTCTGTTCCACCATCCAATCCAGCATCTCACATTGCATTTAGCCAAATATTACATTACTTAGCATATTACTAAGCATTATGTGGTGGAGATCTCTTCAAAAACATTGTTTTACAGGTTGCTTCGTATTTCTTGATGTTCCTTTACTGTATTGCTTAACTTAGGTTATTTCTAAGTTTTGCTCTTATAAGTACTGTTGCAATTAAAATCTTTGCATCTAAATCTTTCTTCACATTTCTTCCTGTTGCCTTGAGATATCCCCCTTGAAATAAAGCCAGGACGTCAAAGGTCCTTTGATACACGCTTGCTTTTAGGCTTCTCAAGAATGCAGTAACAATGTGCAACCATCCTAAGAATACTTTTTTTCCAGTGGAGATTCATTCATGGAAGCAAAAATTAGAGGATGGAAGTTTAGTGAGAAACAGGATATTTACATGATCTCAAAACATCTCCCTGTATATTACTTGTCAATTACCAAGAAAAGACTACTAACTTGAGCAGCAACGCGGAGGAAACCGGAGTGAACCCAGAGCTTAGTGACCAACATGAGCCTCCTCTACAAGCCCAAGAGTGAGATGACCCTGGAGGAGCTGCAGAAGCGAGAGGAGGAGGAATTTAACACGGGTCCACTCTCTCTCTGTGCTCACTCAGTCCGTCAAAAACAACACCCAAGTGCTTATCAACTGCCGCAACAATAAGAAACTCCTGGGCCGCGTGAAGGCCTTTGATAGGCACTGCAACATGGTGCTGGAGAACGTGAAGGAGATGTGGACTGAGGTACCCAAGAGCGGCAAGGGCAAGAAGAAGTCCAAGCCAGTCAACAAAGACCGCTACATCTCCAAGATGTTCCTGCGCGGGGACTCAGTCATTGTGGTCCTGCGGAACCCGCTCATCGCCCGCAAGTAGGAGCCACCTATCCCTGTCAGTCAACAGAACTCACTCCCCTGTCCTACAGAGACCGCTGCCGCTGGTGTTGAGAACAATAAAGCTCTGTGTTTTTTTTCTAAAAAAAAAAAAAAAAAGAAAAGACTACTAACTTTACATTGGAGAAAACTGGCAGGACTGTTAATTGAGTAATCAACATGAACGAGTCAGAACAGGGCAAACCGACATCCTGGGCTTCACCTGGCATGCGAAGGAAAACACAAAATTAGCCTGTTATCATCGTGCCAAAGATGCAAAACCTGAATTGAATAACGAGAACACATCAGGCAAAGAGCATCTAGGGACGAATACCTAGTAAGTGGTTTGTACTCTTCCAAAAAAAAAAAAAAATTACAGGCTTATGCCTATAATCCCAGCACTTTGGGAGGCTGAGGTGGATGGATCACAAGGTCAAGAGATCGAAGCTGTCCTGGCCAACATGGTGAAACCCCATCTCTGCTAGACATACAAAAATTAGCTGGGCATGGTGGCTCGTGCCTGTAGTCCCAGCTACCCTGGAGGCTGAGGCAGGAGAATCGCTTGAACCTGGGAGGCAGAGGTTGCAGTCAGCAGAAGATCAAGCCACAGCACTCCAGCCTGATGACAGAGTGAGACTCCCTCTCAAAAAAAAAAAAAAAAAAAAAATGTCAATGTCATGAAAGGCTGAGGAACACTCTAGGTGAAATGAGATTAAAGGGACATGACCACTAAATGCGATGGATAATCTTGGACGGAATCCCGAACCAGAACAATTCTTAAAATTTTATTATGAGATACACTCTGGGGGAAATTGATTTGAAGATTAGATCACGGTGCCATGTCAAGGTCAATTCTATTTTTTTTTTTTAAACAGATTCTCAGTCTCACCCAGTCTGGGCATGGTGGCTCATGCCTGTAATCTCAGCACTCTGGGAGGCCAAGGTAGGTGGATCACTTGAGATCAGGAGTTCAAGACCAGCCTGGCCAACATGGTGAAACCCTGTCTCTACTAAAAAATACAAACACTAGCATGGCATGGTGGCACATGCCAGTAATCCCAGCTACTCGGGAGTGCACGGCAACCTCCACCTCCTGGGCTTAAGCCATCCTCCCACCTCAGCCTCCTGAGTAACTGGAACTACAGCTGCATGCTACCATGGCCAGCTAATTTTTCTATTTTTGGTAGAGATGGAGTCTCCCAATGTTGCCCAGGCTGGTCTAAAACTCCTGACCTCAAGTGATTCTCCCGCTTTGGCCTCCCAAAGGGCTAGGATTACAGGGGTGAGCTACAGCGCCTGGCCAAAAAAGTCTTATCTCAGCAAAGTGATGGGGAGATGCTTCCATGAAGCCTCGAGGCCTCCGACTTACAGAAAAACTGCAATATTAGAACAAAGAACTTCCCTATACCTCTCACCCAGAGACCTTATTCAAGTGTTGATAATTGTCCCAGTGATGCTCGTTACAGCAAAGGGACAGAGTTCAGGATCACATGCTGTCATCAATCTTCATGACTCTCTCCTCTCCAATCTGAACTGAATTAGAAAGGATGGGCTGGGCACCATGGCTCACGCCTGTAATCCCAGCCCTTTGGAAGGTCAAGGCGGGCAGATCACCTGAGGTCAGGAGTTTGAGACCAGCCTGGCCAACATGGTGAAACCCCATCTCTATTAAAAATACAAAACTTAGCTGGGCATAGTGGCACACGCCTATGGTCCCAGCTACTCGGGACACCGAGACAGGAAGATCGGTTGAACCCAACAGCGGGAGGTTCCAGTGAGCTGAGATGATGCCCCTGCACATCAGCCTGGGTGACAGAGTGAAACTCCATCTCACACACACACAAAAAGAAAGAAAGAAAGAAAGTTTGGGGGAGAGGGAAGAGGGAAGAAAGGAGAAGAAAAAATAGGAAAGGAGGGTGGGAGGGAGGGAGCCTCTAGACTTTTAGAACATTCTTTTATTTTCTAAACATCATTTCTCAGTAGGAAAGTTTGGAAAACCATAGCAAAACACAGAGGAAAAAATGCATTGCAGACTCACCAAACCCGGAGACAAGCACTGTTTACTCTTGGTTAGGTTCCTTATTTTTTGTTCTTTGATCGCATTTGAGATTACAGTGAATATATAACATTTTGTGGGTGCATAGCCTCTCACGGCAAGCTTGCTGAAACTATTGGCTTTTGCTCTTGCTCTATCTATTCCTAGCCTACTGAACAGAATCCCCAGGTTTGGGGGTCTCGGCATCTATATTTTCCACTAGTTCCCAGGGATTCCAGTGGGCCCAGCCAAGATTAAGAACCACTCTTTGCATTTTGCCTTTGTTATTTAACGTTATTTCATAAACATTTCCCTTCACCATTGGATTTCAATCCCTCATGTGAGCATGCATTATTTTATATTTTTATATTATGTATACTATTTTATATATTATGCAAATGATTTTTTGAAAGATCTTTTACCAGCTAGACTCATAATTCTGGTTTATAACTTGTGTGAGAGGATTTCCCTAGAGTTGGGCCGTTGGCTGGAGTGAGGGGAACACTTGTGGAATTTCCATGAGACAAGCTGGACCCAAACATCAGCAAACAGAGTGAAGTGGAACCTGTCTTAGAAACTCACACATTCTTGGGAGATCATCAGTTGGTGACATTAAACTGGGTGGCAATATCTATTGCAATTAAAGATACACATCCAGTCCTGGTGTGGTGGTTCAAACCTGCAATCCCCGAACTTTGGGAGGCCAAGGTGGGCAGATCATCTGTCAGGAGCTAGAGGCCAGCCTGGCCAACATGGTGAAACCTCATCTCTACTAAAAATATACAAATTACCTGGGTGTGGTGGTGCGTGCCTGTAATCCCAGCTACTTGGGAGGCTGAGACAGGGGAATTGCTTGAACCTGGGAGGAGAAGGTTGCAGTGAGCCGAGATCGCACCATCGCACTCCAGCCTGGGTAACAGAGCGAGACACTGTCTCAAAAAAGGTAAAAATAAAAAATACACATCTAGCCTGGGCAACACAGCAAGACCCCATCTCTACAAAAAATAAAAGATTAGCCAGGTGTAGTGGCACCCACCTGTAGTCCCAGCTATTCGGGAGACTGAAGTGGGAGGACGACTTGACCCAGGAGTTGGAGACTGCAGTGAGCTATGATCACACCACTGCACTCCAGCTCATGCAACAGAGCAAGATCCTGTCTCAAAAAAACAGAAACAAAACAAAACAAAAAGAAAAAAAGCTTAGTCTTTGATCCAGCAATTGCACCACACGCAATTGTTTTTATGTGAATATACTGCACATAAAGCAAGGACTGAGGCTGTAAAGAGCTCATTGAGCCATTGTTGGTGATAACAAATGACCCCATACACCACAGACATTCATTCATCCAATACGGAAATGATGGAATGAACATCATGGAAAGAATGCAGCATTCTTTGTGCTATGAAGCCACTTCCAAAATGTCTTATTAACTAGAAAAAAATTGTGTGCCTGTTTTTAAAAATTAGATATAAATATTCCTGGACATGAGCATTCATATTTTCATAGGGACCCTGTCTCTACAAAAATAAAAATAATTAGCTGGGCATGCTGGTGCGTGCCTGTGGGCCCATTCACTTGGGAGCCTGTGGCATAAGGATCATTTAAGCCTGGGAATCCGAGGCTGCAGTGAGCCGTGATAGTGCCACTGCACTCTTTCGGAAATAAAACATTTATTGAAGGAGGATACACAAGAGACAGTTAAAATAGTCATGATTTGTGGGGAGGTAGCCTTGCAGGTCAGTGATAAAAGCGAGATCTGATTATTTATGTATTTACTTTTGAGACAGGGTCTTACTCTGTCACCCTGGTGGGCTACAGTGGAATGACACTATCATGGCTCACTGCAGCCTCCAACTTTGAGTGATCCTCCCACCTTAGCCTCCTAAGTGGCTAGGACTACAAGCATGCACCAGCTTGCTTGGCTAATTTTTTATTTTTTATAGAGATGGGGTTTCTCCATGTTTCTCCGGGCTAGTCCTGAACTCTGAGACTCAAGGGATCCTCCCACCTCTGCCTTCCAAAGTGCTGAGATTACAGGTGTGAGCTACTGTGCCCAGCTGATTTTTATAACGTATCTTCTTGTGCTGTTTGAAAAATTTACCATGTGGTTGTATTACCTGCTTAATTTTTTAAAAACTACAAATAAAGAAATGCTCACCAAACAGTAGTTGCAGCAGGCAGGCGGCGATTTGGAGCATGTGTGGGTGGAGCACAGGCCCGGCGTGGTATTTCCAGGTGATCCTAATGGGATCACCTGACTCCTTCACCTAATTAAAGTGGGTGAGCACAGAGGTGTCTGCTTGTTCTCGGAATGCATCTGTCACCAGCCCCACTGCAGCGGGGGGGCTGGCACGCTGAGCCTGGGGAACAGGGAACCCCCCCTCCGCCCCCAAGCCTGGGCAGCAGGAGTTCAGACCACACGTTCCCAGATCAGCTCCCAGCTCACGAGGCTTTTTCCTACAACAGATGCAGGGCAGCGGAGGGCTCAGCCTCCAGCTTCCGGGCAGCCCACCTGCTGTAAATGCCTCCTCCCAGGTTCATGGAGTGGCTACCGTGCCTTGAAGCCCACCTGTGTCCAGTCTAATGTGATGGCTGTGAGTGTAAGCTCACAGGGCAGAGAGAGAGGTGCCTTGGAGACCTGCTTCAGGCCAGGCGCGGTGGCCCATGCCTGGAATCCCAGCACTTTGGGATGCCGAGATGGGCGGATTATCTGAGGTCAGGATTTCAAGACCAGCCTGGCCAACATGATGAAACCCAGTCTCTACTAAAAAAATATAAAAATTAGCCAGGTTTGGTGGTGTGCACCTATAATCCCAGCTACTCGGGAGCTGAGGCGGGAAAATCGCTTGAATCCAGGAGGTGGAGGTTGCAATGAGCTGAGATCGAGCCACTGCACTCCAGCCTAGATGACAGAGTGACACTCTTTTTTAAAAAAAAAAAAAAAAAAGCCTGCTTCAACCACTGACTGTGCAGCCTTGAGAACTGTACCCACCTTTTCTGAGCCCTTGTTTCCTCATTGGTAAGATGGTGTTAATAATAACATCTGGCTCTCCAGGGGATATAAGAATTAAATGAGGTCATTTGTAGAGAGAGTCATTTGCTATTTGAGGTCATCAAATAGCAATTATTTGTTTCATTAACAAACCTTTATCAAGCACACTAGTAGGTGCCAAATCTCACGCCAGGAGCTGGAGATTTAAAAACTTCTTATTTATTTATTTATTATTTATTGAGACAAAGTGTCGCTATGTTGTCCAGGCTAGAGTGCAATGGCATGATCTCGGCTCACTGCAGCCTCTGCCCTCCCTGGGTTCAAGTGATTCTCATGACTCAGCCTCTTGAGTAGCTGGCATTATAGGTGGCTGCCACCACCTTCAGCCAATTTTTGTATTTTCTGTAGAGACAAAATGAGAGAAAACGTGGGGTTTCACCAGGTTGGCCAGGCTGTATTTGAATTCTTGACCTCAAGGGATCCACCTGCTTCAGCCTCCCAAAGTGCTGGAATTACAGGTGTGAGCCACTGTGCCCGGCCAAAAAAATTTTTTAAAGGGCTGGATGAGATGGCTTATGCCTGTAATCCTAGCACTTTGGGAGGAGAGGAGGGAGGACCCCTTGAGCCCAGGAGTTTGAGACTAGCCTGGGCAACATCATGAGACCCGTGTCTCTACAGTTTTTCTTTTTAATTAGCCAGGTGTGATGGCACATGCCTGTGGTCCCAGCTACTCAGGAGTCTGAGGGAGGAGGCTCTCTTGAGCCCAGGAGTTCGAGCCTGCAGTAAGCTATGATTGCACCACCGCAGTCCAGCCTGGGTGACAGAGCAAGACTCTGTTTCCAAAAAAAAAGTGATGGTTTATGCTGTTAAGTAATTCACAGTCTAACAGCAAAAGGGTAATATATGATATTAATAGTTTTTTTTTAAATTTTACTTTAGGTTCTGGGGTACACGTGCAGGTCATGCAGGGTTGTTGCATAGGTGCATACATAACCAGGTGGTTTGCTGCCTCTATTTCCCCTTCATCTGTATCCGGCATTTCCCCCCACATTAGCCCCCCCACACTCCCCACCCCCTGCTGTCCCTCCCCTAGCCCCCCCTGACAACTGCCCCCAGTGTGTGATACTCCATATTAATAGTTTTTAAAAAATGATCTCAGAAAAAACTCCCAGATTTATCTTATTTAATTCTTATTACAATCCTTTGAGGTAGCTTTTATTATTCCTATTTTATAGATGAGGAAATTAAGGTCCAGAAAAAAGTAGAGCAGTGGACTGGAAGGTAAAGGAAGTTAATTGGCTAACAAAGAAGAGAATTCTCTGGAGTTCTCTGATGACAGTTAACATACTCTTTCAAGGCTACTTTAAGCAATTTTTTTAAATGGAGGAAATTTGACATAGGGATCCAGCGGCCTCATGTAATGCCTGTCATCAAAGTGTAGACATTGTAGCTAGCCCTTCCCCAGGAAAAATAGGAAGTAGGACAGGGCTACTATTTTTTGCATTTAAGCCAGTCCTGTCTTCCTTTCTCTCACCATTGCCTCCTTTTGTGGATCTGCCTCTTCCTTCATCATCCATCTGCCTTCAGAGCCCAGGGCAGAAAATGACCATCCTTGACTCAGATATATATCATCTCCATGACTCAGATACATATCATCTCCATGGAGGAGACCAGCCCAGATAGCAACAGTTTACTGCAGCCTCAACCTACTTGGCTCAAGTGATCTTCCTGTCTCAGGCTCCAGAGAAGCTAGGACTGCAGGTGCTTGCCAAAATGTCCAACTAATTAAAAACATTTTAGATCAAGTCTCGCTATGTTGCCCAGACTGCTCTTGAACTTTTAGCCCCAAATGCCTCAGCCTCCCAAACTGCTTGGATTTCAGGTGTGAGCTACTGAGCCCAACCTGGAGTCTCTTCTTATAAGGACACAAAACCTATCAGATCAAGACCCCACCCTTTTGACCTCAATTAACCTTAGTTACTTTCTTAGAGGCTCCATCTCGAAATATAGCCACATTGGGGTTAGGGCTTTAATGTATGAATTTGGTGGGGGAAAGTAGCAGTTCATCACAAGTAGTAAGGATGAGTAATAGCAGCTGCAGTAATAAAACATCCCTCCATATCAATGATGCACATTATAGTTTCATGCAAGTGTGTGGCAGGCAGCCTTCCACATGATAGCTCGAGGGTTCAAGCTCTTTCCATCTGTCCTCATCCCCCTGGGTCAACTCTACTCAGCTGGCAGACAGGGAAATCAAATAAAGCATTGTATGGGATGTTTGCACGAGGCAGGCCTGGAAGAGGTGCCTGATACTTCGTCTCCTGTCCCATTTGCTAGAAATCCATCGTGTGGCTGGATTGAACTGCAAGGGAGACTGTCTATCTGGGTATCTGGAATAAGGAAGTGGATTGAGTGAACTGCTAGCCAGTCTTTGCCGCCACAGTGGAAAAGCGTTTGTAATGAAATAGACTTAGGAAAAGATGTTTTTAAAACAGTTAGATGGGGATTGGGTGGCTCACACCTGTAATCCCAACCCTTTAGGAGGCCCAGACAGGAGGATCATTTGAGCCCAGGACTTTGAGACCAGCCTGGGCAACATGGCGAAACCCCATCTCTACAAGAGATACAAAGAAATAGCCAAGCGGGTAGCGCTTCACACCTGTAGTCCCAGCTACTTAGTTGGCTGAGGCAGGAGGACCCCTGAGCCCAGGATGTTGAGGCTTTGGTGAGCTATGATCACGTCACTGCACTCCAGCCTGGGCAACAGAGTGAGACTTTCTCAAAAACAAAAACAAACACAAACAGACAGAATAAATAAATAAATAAATAAAACAAAAAAAGCTAGTCAAATGAATTTCCTTACTGTGGAACATCTTAGGGCCTTTAGTGAACTATTGTGCATTGTCAATTGCTAAGACAGCAGGGAGTGAATGTTGTTTCTCATCCTGACTTAAAGACTAACCCTGTTTTGCTCAAAGAGCTTCTTGTGGCAAAAACATCAAGGTAGGGCAACAGGTCCAAAACTGAATGAAGGGGGATGAGCTTGGAGGGGGAAAATGGGCAGGCGTTGCAATGTGGATTTCGTGGGATGAGCGAACAGAGCTCAGGAAGTCAACAGAGAAAAGGCAGCCTCACAGTGTAGCCCCGACGCCCTGCCCTGACTGTGGAAGTCGCCATCCTGACCCTCAGTGAGCTCGCCGAAAGAGGGATGGTGTGCACGGCACTGAGAGGTCAGATAAGTTCGTTGCAGTTGAAGGCATTAAAGCAATTTCAAAACGACCTCGGTACGTCATCTCCTGTGGGTCAGACGCTGCGCTTTTCTTGGCATCATCGTCAGCCTCAAGATGGGGGACAAACACTGGCATTGTTGAGATATTTCCTGAGAGCTCCAGGGAGCCGCTCTGCATCAGCCTGGTCTGATGCGCTGGCTGGTGGGAAGTGCAGAAACCCGGTTCAAATGCAGAAAACCTCTTTTCTGACCACCTGCATCCTTCCGAGCTGATGTGGGGTTTTATAGTGGAGTCCAGGTGATACAAGCTTAGGCAGGGCGGCCTGAACTGGGGCAGGAACGTGGATGCTGGAAACAACCAGAACTCTGCTCAAAACCTGGCTATGGCTTTGTTTCCTTACCTGTAAAGTGGGGACGATAGACCCCCATCCAAATGCAAATACGAAAGCAATTAACAATGGTGATGATTAATTGAACACTTACTGTACACAAGGCACTGTGAGCTGTTTTATATACACCACCTCTCATCCCCTCAGCAGTGGCTCTTAACCCAGGGGGAATTTGTCCCCCAGTGGACACTGGGCAATGTGATTTTGGCTGTCAATGTTTGGAAGTATTTTTGGTTGTCACAACCGGGGGAGGGGTCGTGCTACTGGCATCCAGTGAATAGAGGCCAGGGATACTGCTAACATCCTGCAGCACACGGGACAGCCCCCGCAGCAGGCAATGATCCAGCCCCCAAGTGCTGACACTGCTGAGGTTAAGAAATATGACTTCCAGGCACCCTTCAGGTGGGTATAATTTGCTTCACCCTTTCTGAATTTTACAGATGACGCAACTGAGGCTCAGAGACATTATCTAATTTGGAGAAGCCTAGACCGGAACCCACCGCGATAGCCACTGTTGACAATGCCTCAGTGAGCATGTGCGTGCGCCTGTGTTTGTGTATGTGCGTGTGTGCGTGCCATCCCCCCTCCTCTCACCATTCTTCTTTACGGACCTTGAGCAAACTCCTCTTCTCATGGGCTGTCCCAGTCCATGCTAATCATGACAGTGTGTGAGTCACAAAAGGCTTAGCTGGGCGCGGTGGCTCACGCCTGTAATCCCAGCACTTTGGGAGGCTGAGGCGGGTGGACCACCTGAGGTCAGGAGTTTGCGACCAGCCTGGACAACATAGTGAAACCATGTCTCTACTAAAAATACAAAAATTAGCCAGTTGGGGTGGCACACACCTGTAATCCCAGCTTCTTAGGAAGCTGAGGCACGAGAATTGCCTGAACCCAGGAGGCGGAGGTTGTAGTGAGCCAAGATGGTACCACTGCACTCCAGCCTGGGCGATAGAGTGAGACTCTATATAAAAAAAAAAAAAAAAAAAAGAGGAAACTGGCTTTCCATTTCCTGTGATAATTTTTAACATTTCCTTATTAGACAATTTTTTTCAAGAGTCAACATGGCAAAAAGTGTGAAGATGATATACAAAGCACTGCCGTTTGG